AGCGATGGCTATATTTTGATAAGAAAATCCTCTGGTTATAAGAATTAGGTAGAGTATCTATTGTGAAATTACTTCATATATCATTTGATAAAAACAATTCATTTGCTTTCTGTATGAGATTTTGACCTTTAGTTAACTTTTCTAGTTCTGTTCCCCTGACAACCTGATAAAATCATATATTTTAAAATATAAATGGGGCTAGAGAGATGGCACAGAGGTTAAGAGCCCTGACTGCTCTTTCAAATATCCTAAGTTCAACTCCCAGCAACCACATGGTAGCTCACAGCCATCTATACAGGCCCATATGCAGAGCACTCATATATAAAATATAAATAAATAAAATTAAGAGTCATACACTTACTATGTTGCTAGGCAACATCACATATGGTAGAAAATGTCCCCTGAATGGTAAACTAGACCTGGAATGAGAGAACTGCGTATACATTAATGAAGCCACAGTTCTGGGATTGCTGGCTTTAGGAACAGGCATGTCATACTGAGACACTGGACGAAATGTCTGAGGTTGTATCGAAGATTTAAAATCCAAGGCAGCTTCCAAACTTGTGTTATCTGCATACCGCACATGAGCCACGCCATATGCAAAGCTTCAAGGATCCGACAGGAGCATATTAACTGGTTCTGACTGGCTGCCAAGCTGTATCCCATTCTCTATCTTTCCATGGGAATCTGATGTCAACTACGGGAGCTCATGTGTCTGAAAGTATCTAAACCTTTCAGTCTACAGAGTGCCCGGAAGGCAGAGTAATCATGTTTGCCTCTTTTTCTGAGAGTAGAGGATGCCCCACAAGGGCTATGGATGGATAGTAAAAGATGTACAAGTGTCCGGAATGTTTCTTCTACCGCTAAAGAAAAATTCTGATCATACCCTAACAGTCTTTGACAACTACAGCTACTTCACAACCATTACATGTCACCAAGATGTGTTTCTCAAATGGATGCCTTCCTGCAAAATCTCCAAGCCTGTTCCTACCAACCCTCTCTCTCTCTCTCCCTCCCTCCCTCCCTCTTTCTCTGGTACTAGAGATTGAATTAGGCTGGCTTCAGAGTAATTTTTTTGAGACAGGGTTTCTCTGTGTAACAGTCTTGGCTGTCCTGGAACTCGCTCTGTAGATCAGGCTGGCCTCGAACTCACAGAGATCCACCTGCCTCTGCCTACTGAGCGCTGGGATTAAAGGCCACCACCACCCAGCTCAGAGTCATTTCTTTTTTTTTTTTCTTTTCTTATATTTTTGGTTTTTCGAGACAAGGTTTCTGTGTCTTTGGAGGCTGTCCTGGAACTCAACTCTTGTAGACCAGGCTGGCCTCAAACTCACAAAGATCTGCCTGCCTCTGCCTCCTGAGTGCTGGGATTAAAGGTGTGAGCCACCAACACCCGGCGAGGGTCATTTCTAAATTACAAAGTATGGGTCTGGCCAGGCGGTGGTGGCGCACGCCTTTAATCCCAGCACTCGGGAGGCAGAGGCAGGCAGATCTCTGTGAGTTTGAGGCCGGGCTGGACCGACAGCCTCCAAAACAATACAGAGAAACCCTGTCTCGTAAAAAAAAAAAAAAAAAAAAAAAATTATGGATCTTATTTACATTCCTTCCTACCCCTCAAGAGAACTAGATCACTAAATATGCACTTTTGAACTTCATTTTAAGTATGTATCTTGGGCCCACCCATATACTATATCTACTAGGAGATAAAAATATCTTTTTGTGAACGTGGACTGAACGTGCTGGAATGATGCAGTAATATGAACTCAGTCAGTAGTGGTCAGTGTTGGGTCCAACTGTGAATCTACTGACAGTACACACCAAAGAAGCAGGTCTCTCTTTAAAAAATGACAGAATACAATGACCCAGTTATTAGAACATACATTACACAAACTCCAAACGGCCAACTACGAATGAACAATCTGAGACATCACAGAATATTAATACAATACACACACTGGGCTTCGCAGCCTGTTTTCCTCCCAAGATTCTGCCCCTGTGTGGCAGAGTCATTAACAAAAATAGCCACATATGGTGGCTTGTATCAGCACCCAGGAAGCAGAGGCAGACAGTTCTCTCTGAGCTTGAGACTAGTCTGATTAACAGTGACTCCCAGCTGAGGTAAGGAAGCAGGGAAGCCCTGAATTAAAACAATTTAAAAACCAAAACAAGAGAAGGCCAGAGACAGGAAAGAATGGTTCTGGGGATGTAAACCTGGGCTGGAGTCTATTTCTTTCATTCTGGACTTTGCTCTTAGATGTACTTATGTGTGACTGTGTGGGTGGGAGAATGTGCACTCGAACGCAGGGCCTGTAAAGACCACAGGCATCAGGTGTTCCTGGGACAACGGTTACAGGCACCTGGGGGGCTGGGAACTGAACTTGGGTCCTACGCAAGAGCAGTAAGGACTCTGAACCACTAAGCCTTCTCACCAGGCCCTCAATTATATTTTAATTTTTGAGACAGGCCCTCGTTGGCCTGGAATTGGTTATGTAGACCAGGCTGACTTTTAATGCACAGAGATCCACCTGCTGCTGCCTCTGGAATACTGGGATTAAGGGTGTGTGACACCATGGCCTGCGGACACAGCTTCTTAAATATCCCATACTGGCCTTGAACTTGTTTTGAAACTGAGGTTGACCTTGAACTCCTGATCCTCTGGCCTCCTCTTCACTAGCCCTGGGTTCCTAGGTGTTTCCTACCATACCTGGGTGAATGTCCAAGTTTCTATGTCATAAACCTATATCAGATATTGGGCAATCGGTGAAACATCTGGTCTCAGCAACAGAACACAAAATTTAAAAATGAAAGATCATTTTAAAAACCCTGCCTTATCATATATCTAGAATTTCTCAATCTTGGTACTACTGATTTTTAAAATTTTTATATTTATTTATTTTGTGACAATGTCTTACTCTATACCCCTAGCTTGCCTAGCGATAGCTATATAAATCAAGTTGGCCTTGAACTCACCAAGATCTGCCGGTCTCTATCTCCCTGGGTGCTGGGATTAAAAGCATGTATCACTACACCTAACCCATACTGACTTTTTTCTGGGACCCTCTGCTATATAAAATGGTTCAGCAGCATCCCTGGCCTAGACCTACTGGATGCCAGCAGTTCCCTGTCCCTGCTTCAAACAATCAAAGGTAACCCTGATGACATCACATTTCTATCCAGCCAAGAAGCATTGTCTTACAGTTAAGTCTTTTTTTTTCTTTACCAGAGACATGAAGAGGTCACAAGATAGCTGAAAAAGATAGATCAGTCATGGCTCTACCCAAGGAGGTAGGAGGCAGACAGCATTCCAAATTGTGAGGTAGAAAGGTCATATTAAAACAGAAACAGGTTAAATACAGACTAAAAATATCAAATATAACTCCTGTAAGATCAATTTATACATCCACTTGACTTTCCTTTAAGATCTCTTTTAGTTCACTAAAGATAGCATCTTGCTATGTAGTATGTAGCTCTGGCTGGCCTACTGCTTGCTTTGTAGACTAGGCTGGCCTCAATCTTCCTGCTTCTGCCTCCTCAGGACTAGGCTCACAGATGCGGGCCAACATGTCCCACTGCAAATAACAGCTAATATTTGTGTTTCATGCAAAAAAAGAGTGTTTCTGGACCCTGATAACATTCGCTTGTAACTCTTGATCTAGTCAGTTAATTTGTTTTGCAAGGCTGAGGACTGAATTCATGCCCTTGCTTATGCAAGGACATTGCTCTACCATGGAGTCACATCCCGGCCCCTTTAGTCATTTTTCAGATACCATGTGGTAGAAGGCAGGCTCTATAAAACTTCCAATACTTTTAATAAAATCTCAAAACTTCGTGCATTGATTTATTTTGGGATAGAGTCTTGCTATGTATCATGGACTGGTACTGTGTAGACTGGGCTGGCCTTGGATGTACGAGAGATCTGCCTGTAATATATCCAGAATGCTGGGATTAAGTCTATTAGCATGTACCACTAGGTCTGTCTGGTACCAGTCTTTATATGATGTGGCTCACTAAGTAGCCACACCTGGGCTGGTCCATGCCTTGTTCAAGAAGATAAAGCCACTAACTGGGTGTGGGCATCAAGGTAACATCAAAATGTCAGCACTGTTTCAGAGAGCTGTCCTAGGACTCTACCACTAAGGACAGTTTAAACACCTTCCCAGGATCTGGGGTTGTGGGTCAGTAAAAGAGCATGGCCAAAGTCCTGGATACAATGCCTACCACTGAGAAAACCAAAATGAACCAAATTTTACTTTCTTTTTTTTTTTATGGCTTTTTCTCCCTTGTAGACAATTAGATATTTATTTATCACAGTACCAGGGATTGGACTCCAGGCCTTTCTAAAGACAGACAATGAGCTGGACCTCCAGTCTGCCATGCGTGGTGGGTGCGGCACACCTTTCGTCCCAGCACTGGGGAGGCAGAGGTAGGCAGATCTTTCTGAGCTCAAGGCCAACCTGGTCTACAGAGTGAGTTCAGGGCAGCCAAAGCTACATAGAGAGACCCTGTCTAAAAAAAACAGACCAACACTTGAGCCCTCAAATGACTAGACAGTACCTATAAGCCCATTTATAAATTCTTCTGATTTGTTATTGTTCAACAGGCAGAAAGACCGTGATTTCCCTGCCTTTTGAAACTGTATCAAAATTAAAGGAAGACAAGGGGATTTCTTTTAAAATCCACTTTGGGTACATAAGAAAAGTCTATGAAAGTCTTAGTCCATAATTTTTCCTGCCATTTGACACTTTGAAGACACTTGCTTTGCTAGACTTGTAACCTGGCTGTAGCATGGATGAAAGGCAGACTGGCCTTAATAAATAAATAAATCTTTAGCCAGGCGGTGGTGGCCCACGCCTTTAGTCCCGGCACTTGGGAGGCAGAGGCAGGTGGCTCTCTGTGAGTTGGAGGCAACCTGGTCTACAGAGCAAGTTCCAGAACAGCCAGAGCTGTTACGCAGAGAAACCCTGTCTCAAAAAAAAAAAAAAAAAAAAAAAAAAAAAACCAAGCCAAAACAAAAACCTGCTGTAGCCAGCTCCTTCCTTCTAGGTCTTCTGGAAGTCAAGACACAGACAACATGAGATAGGCCTGTGCTTCTCCCTAGCTCACGTCTGAGCATAAACTAGGTAAAAGAATGTCAGTGGGGGGAAAAAAAAGAATGTCAGTGGGACAAACATCCTCAGGTTGCACTGAGTCACCTCTTGGAAATGACTAAAGAAAGCAGGAGAGCATTTTCAGTTTTGCCCAAACAACTTGTTTTATGATCCCAGAATAGGATATTTGTGTGTATGCAATTGTCAAATAACCTGTGGACAGGGACACTTCCCCGACCTGGCCCACAGGCTCTCTTTTGGAGGCTCATTTAATTATTTAATTTAATTTAATCCACTGGGCAAGCGTGGGGGCCCTAACGAACTTGCAACTCATGTCAGTGTTTGTCTGCATGTAACTCCCAGCAGTTAGGAGCCTGGTCTAGGTTTAGGGAGTGTCTTTTATGACCATGTAGTCGGCCCTGCCTGCTTTTTATCAAAGCAGGTTCACCTTCAAGTCTTCGCCAGAAAATTAAGCTGTGGAATTTGTTATGAAACGCTTGGCTGGCAGGGGAAAGACTGATGCCCCGATAGCATATTTTGCCACCTCTTCAGAAAAAGGTAATGATAAAAGAATGCAGAAGGTTGAGAGAATGTGAAGCAGTGAGGTTATTGTTATTTCCCTCCGACCCAGAGTCCGCTTCTCAGCAGGATAACTGGGAAGGCTCAGGGCCAACCTTGATTCACTCACCCTCGGAATCATGCTAAAAACTTAGCAGTCTGGAATCACAAAATCCACTCTGCTAGGTAGTCTAACAAAAAAGCGAGTGTAACAACATCGAGGGGGAAACAGCCCCTAAGCTCCACAAAATGAGAGGAACGGTGGCTTTCACCGTAGAACAAACAACACCTAAAACCCCTCTCCCACCCGTTGACTGCTATGTCAGCGTCTCGTGGTCTGGCAAGTTGGGCCGGATGTGTGGCTTGTCATCGGAATCCTCCCCAGCTGGGTCATTCTCGTCACCAGACTCCACATAGATGGGCCAGTCGTCCATGTCACTCTTCTCGTGGCTTTCGGATGAAGCCTCCACCAGGCTAAGGTTGACGGGGATCAAATCCTCCTCATCATGAGCGTCTGTGACACAGGTGCAGCTGTCACACAGCCCAAAGCGCCGCAGCCCCTGGGACAGGTGGCTGGTGAAGGTTCTCCGGCAGCCTTTGCAGACAATTGGCCGGTTGGCTCTATGGACCTGTCATCACAAGAGGACACGGTGAATGCCACAGAAAAGGGGTCAAGGAGCTGGGGAGATGACTCAGCAGTTAAGAGAACTCGCTGTGCAAATGGAAGGATGTTGCTCTCCCTCCCCGAGGTGCTGAGTCTGGTGGAAAATTGGGCTACAGCTTACTCTATACCCCATCAGGGGAAGAGGCCCACAGTCTGCTGGTCCTGCCAACTCTGGCCTCACGACAGCCATCCTTGAGCAAAAACTAAGCTTTCTTGGAAAATCTGTCTGTTCCTACGCCAGTGTTAACCTTCCAAGTGCTGCCTGCCAAGCTTTAATCGGGAAAAGCAAACATCACCGAATTCTGTAAAAACCTCCGGGGGACAGAGAAGTGAAAGGCAGGCTCACCCTCGGATTAGAAAGTAGGCGAAGCCCTTGCAGCAGCAGCATCACTGAACTTACACTCAGGGCGTGGCTCCGAAGGTGCTCCTGTCGAGTGAACCTCTTGCCACAGGTCTCACAGGGGTACGGCCGCTCGCCAGTGTGCGATCGGATGTGCCTCTTGAGGATGCCCTTCTGCTTGGCAGTGTAAGGGCAGAAAGGACACTTGTGGAGCTTGACGGGGACCACCAGCACGTCACCTGAGGGATCCAACAGACTGTGAACAGCAACAACCACAGCCACCTTTCAGGGTGGGACGGGAAACCCCATCAGACCAGACAGAGCGAGGTCACCAACTCTGCTTGCTAGCAAGGGACAAGACCCCAGCACAAGCCCAACTTTGTCTGGCTCCCAAAATGTCAGAGGTCAAGTCGGCGAACTGGGCTTTTACTCTCCCCTCCCCCTCCCCCTTTCCTTACCTGTGCTAGAGATTGAGCCCAGGGCCTTGAGTGTGGTACACAGACATTCTATCACTTAAGTGTCATCCTCACACACCCAGCTTGGTTTCTGGTCTTGAACATTAGGCTTTAATAGCTGAGACATCTCTCCAGCTCATAAAAGTTTTTGGCTGTTGTTTAAAATTTATTTTTTTTTATGTTGGGAAGTGGTGGCACATGCCTTTAATTCCCAGTGTTCAAGAGGCAGAGGCAGGAGGATCTCCATGAGTTCAATGCCAGCCTGGTCTACAGAGTGAGTTCCAGGGCAGTCAGGGATACACAGAGAAACCCTGTCTCAAAAACAAAACGAAGCCGGGCGTTGGTGGCGCACGCCTTTACTCCCAGCACTCGGGAGGCAGAGGCAGGCGGATCTCTGTGAGTTCGAGACCAGCCTGGACTACCAAGTGAGTTCCAGGACAGCCTCCAAAGCCACAGAGAAACCCTGTCTCGAAAAACCAAAAAAAAAAAAAAAACACGAAATGGAATAGGTGTGGTCTTGCTGGAGGTATCTGCCAGGGTCATGCTTTGAGGTTTCAGAAGGTCAAGCAAGGCCTAGGCTCTCTCTCTGTCTTTTTCCTGCTGCGTGCAGATGGAGATAGAGAACTCTCAGCTCCTTCTCCAGCACCAGGTCTGCCTGTAGGCTGCCATGCCTCACACCATGGTGATAATGGGCTAAGCCTCAAACTGTAAGCAAGCCCCAATTAAATGTTTTCTTTTATAAGACTTGCCATGGTCATGGATGGTGTCTCTTCAGAGCAACAGGAACCCTAACTAAGGCAAGTAGTTTGCTTGGTAAGAGATGAGCAGAGAAGTGTGAATACATGTACCATAAGGCACAGTAAATGTGGGCCTGTTGTAGGAAGTCAATAGCTTAAACATGATGTGCCTGGGATTCCTCGGTAGCCCTGAAAGAAATCTAAAACCTCACCAAAAGTCTCAGGAAAAAGCATGCTTTCACTTAAATTATCATAGGCACTGATTTTCCAGAACTAGCTCCAAAGACAGGAGAACGCCAATATGTGCCAAGTCCAGAGGCCAGACACCCACTCAACTGCCGTGAGTGCTTCCAAGATTAGGAGGGATACTTCCAAAAGTGGCCATCTAGACTGTGTCCAAAGCATTGAGAACCCTCTGTTGTAATTTTAAAAATCCCACAAAGAGAAGTCACGCCATACAACAAGACTCACATGGGAGGTCTAATTGAAGAGGAGAGAGACTGGGCAAAGAAAGGGGTAGAGAGGGGGCTGAAACCAGTCCCTGCAAGAGTGGTGGAAAAGAGAGAGAGAGATGGGAGGTGGGCAGGGCCCTTTTAAAAGGGAACACAGTGACTGTGCACATGTGGTGCTCTTGGCTGCAGCTGAGGGTGTGTCCTGTCAGAACCCCAAGGGCAGGCCAGTACAGATGCCTGAGTAGTAACACACCAACAAATCCTAGGAGCCCACTGGAACTATCTGGCTCGAACCCAGGAACTTTCAGTCTCAGACCAGGCAAGCTGCTATTTGAAACTAAAAGCATACTCCTGGTATCAGGAGAGACCCCTCCCCATGCTGCAGGAGGGGTGCTGGCTCAACAGCATCAGGCCCACCAAAGTCACCAGGGAAGTTCAATGAAGAAAGCCCTTGTTGACCTCCTTTATCTTATAGTCAGCAAGGCATGCTCTTCCCCTTGGGTACCAGCAGCAGTAGCAGCAACCCCACACTAGGCATTCCTGATACAGCAGACGACTCCTCAAGAATGTCTTTAACCCCTTTTTTCTGTGAGCCAAGGGATTTTTCAAGACCTCTCATAACTTCTAGAAAAACATGAACAAAAGTCCCCCCACTTTAACTGTTCAAATATTTTGATCAAAGTTAATGTGTAGCATCTTCAAGTAGATTTTTGGAGTATTATTTATTATTGTTATTATCATTGTATGTTTACAATGCTTATGTGAATGCGGGAGCACATGTGTGGATTCTATAGTGCATATGTGGAGGTCAGAGGACAACTTCCGGGAATTGCTTCTCTTCCTTCACTGTGGAATCTGAGGTTTGAACTCAAGACCTCAGGTACAGATGACAAGCGCTCTTACTTACTGTGCCAACCCTCTGGTCCTCATCTTTATTATTAAACTAAGCCAACAACACCCATCCTAGACCATCTGGTATCATCAATAAGAACATGTACAGCATTTTCATCCACGGGGATTTCTTCTAGGCACTGAAGAGCACTCACCTAAGTGATGCTGAACAGAATATTTGCTATGTGGACACAGAGTTTGGAACAGAGGGGTCTTTATTTGGTATCTATCTATCTATCTATCTATCTATCTATCTATCTATCTATCTGTTGGAAGGTGAGTGGCTGGGTCTCCTGTAGCTCAGGCTGGTCTCAAACTCACTATGCACCAAAGGCCTTAAATGTTGTCATTTCTTCCTCCTCCTCCTCTTCTTTTGTCTTTTGTTTTTTCAAGACAGGGTTTCTCTGTGTAGCTTTGGAGCCTATCCTGGCACTTGTTCGAGGTTGGCCTTGAACCCACTGAGATCCACCGGCCTCTGCCTCCCGAGTGCTGGGATCAAAGGCATGAGCCACCAACGCCCTGCTAAAAATTTTGTTTTATGTGTTTAGATGTCTTGCCTACATATATGTCTGTGCATTGTGTACACGTAGTGCTCATAGAGGCCAGAAGAGGGTGTTGGATTCTCTGGAACCAGGTCCAGGCAGTTTGTAAACCACCATGTGGGTGTTAGACAACAACCCTGGGTCCTCTGCAAGAGCAGCAAGTGCCGCTAATAATAATAATGCTCTCTCCAATCATTTATTTTTATTTTTTCCTTCAAGACAGGATATCACTATATAGCCCCTTTTGGCCTGGAATTTGCTATCTACACCAGACTGGCCATGAACTCACAGAGATCTGCTTGCCTCTTTCTCCCAAATGGGTTTAATGAAAGGTGTGTACCATCACAACTGTCGGTACCATTTTCTAGAGGACCAGAGCATCCAGTGGACTTTACTGTCCAAGGGGAGTCCTGGAACCAAGCACTCATGGACATCAAAGGTGGACCACACTCTGTGCAGGTAATGACAAGATAGACACACAGCAGGAGGACCACACTCTGTATACACAGCAGGAGGACCACACTCTGTATACACAGCAGGAGGACCACACTCTGTGCAGGTAACCACAATATACACATGCAGGAGGACCTGATATTAATCCCCAACACCTGTGAAAGGCCAGAATGGCAGCACACAAGTGTGATCCTGGCACTCGGAAGATGGAGAGAGTTGTATATGTGGGGGTCACTGGCCAGCCAGTTGAGTGAAATTAGCAAGCCGAACACTTATAACAGATCCTTCTCTAAAAACAGAGAGAGATAGATGAACATCTTAGAGCACTGGTTGCTCTTCCAGAGGACCTGGGTTCGATTCCTAACACGCACATGGCAGCTCACAATCATCTGTAACTTCATTCCTAGGGGATCCAATGCCTTCCTCTGGCTTCTGCATGAATATGATGTATAGCTATGCATGCAGGCAAATATTTCATAAATGTGAAATAAAATACATTTTCATGAAAAACAAAAACAAAAGCAGGGACTGGAGAGATGGCTCAGCAGTTAAGAGCTCTTGTTGCCCTTCAGAGGACCTGGGTTTGATTCCCATCACCTACATGGTAGCTCATAACTATAATTCCAGTTCCAGGAGATCTGACACCCTCACACAGGCATGCAGGCAGGCAAAACGCCAATGCCCACTAAATAAATAACGAAAAAACAAAACTAAAGCTGGACAGTGGTGGTGCATGTCTTTAATCCCATCACTTAGGAGGTAGAGGCTGGCAGATCTGGTCTACAGAGTGAGTTCCAGGACTGTCGGGGAGCCCTGTCTCAAAAACAAAACAAAAACAAGGTGGACAACTCTTGAGGTGCAACATCTAATATTGCCCTCTAGTGTCCACATGTATGCATGCAACACGTGTGTGCGCGCGCGCACACACACACACACACACACACGATACACAAAGAAACAATAGTCTATATACAACATGCACTCATTAATCCTTATTGACAGTGGTGGTATGAGCAGCAATGGTAGTGGTGGTAGTGATGGGTGATGGCAGTGACAGTCGTGCCGATGGGAGAACGGACGGCACAGATAAATGTTGGGAGAGAGAATGCCTGTGATCAGAACTCACCTGAGTCCTCTCTACACCAGTCATTCTGAGCATCATTCACCGAACTCATGGCCACTCCTGCACCTTCCAGTCTTCCCTCCAAACTGTGTGAAAAGTGGTGATCAGAGTCGTCTTTGCTCTGGACAGCACCGCTGCGCAGGAGAGCCTCCAGAAACTGCTTCACGTGGTAGTTGCTGTAAGTCAAGTCCAAGGCCTGGTTACTGGACAGACCGTCCTCCGCATGGGCCAGCGGGGTGTCATACTGCTGCAGCTCTTCGCCGGCTTCCACCTCCACTCTGGCAACATCAAATTCCACTTTGGGTTCAACCCGTCTGGGCACAAAAGAAAGGTCGCCGTCAGAGGCGCCAGAGCCCTGGCTGTCTTTCACCACCAATTCCAAGGGATGGCAGTCATCACAAGGGGACGCCCTTGTACACCCCACACTCCCTTCCCCCTCTCCTGGGGAGGAGACGAAGCTCTTGGTACTGCAGGAAGTCCCCTCCAGTCCTGAGCTCGGACTTCCACTGTCTATCTGGTGAGCAGCAGCAGCAGCTGCTGCGGCGGCGGCCGCAGCCACGGCCGCAGCCACGGCAGCTTCCTTCTCCATCTTTCGGCAGATGTCAAGGGATGACCTGATGTATGTCTTGCAGAAGTTGACCACGTCATTCATCTGCAGGTAGCTGGCAGCAGACATAACTTCAATCACATTCTCGCCACACAAATCCAACTTCCCAGAGTAGAGGAAATCTAAGATGGTGGAGAAGGCTTCCGAGGTGACGATGTCCAGCGAGGCGGTGCTGTGCCGCCCGCTGTCCTGAATATAGTGAATGAGCAGGGCACGGAAATAGCCGCTGTTAGCAAACAAAATGTTCCTGTGGGCCTTGAAGATGCGCCCTTCCACGATGATGCTGCAATCACAGAAAAAGTCCCTTTTCCGCTGCTCGTTCAACTCCCCCAGGAGCTTGGCGCAATAGGTCTGCGCCTCCATGTTTCCACCAGCCGCTGCTGCTCTGAAGGGGCCTGGAGCTCTGCCAAGATTTTTATTTACGTTAATTCACGAATCCCAACCTTATAAGCTATTCTTATTTTGTTCTGATTTTCGGTAGCCCAGGCTGGGTTTGCATTTTCTAAGCAGTCAAGGATGATCTAGAACTCCTTTGATAACAGGAGTGGTCACCATCCCCAGTTTATATAGTGCCTGAATGCGTGCAAGGCAGGCACTCTGTCAACTGATCTATATCCTGGCTGCAAGATGTTCATATATATCATATATTATATTTAAAAACACTGGCTCAGGGCTTGAAAGATGACAACAATTAAGAGCAGTTGTTGCTCTTGCGGATGACCTGGATTCTGTTCCTAGCACCCATATGGTGGTTCACCATCATCCTGAAGTCCAGTTCCAGGGTTTCCAAACAACCTCTACTGACCTCTATCCGCACCAAATGCTTATGTGGTACACATACATACATGCAGGCAAAACACATAAAATAAAATAAATATTTAAAAACAGTTTTTAACCAAATCACTGGTTCAATGGTTTTCATGACATAGACTGTTTTGAATCTAACATATAACTGAGTTTAAGAATAAAAAAGAATATCCCTAGTACATGAATGGACTTTGGGAGCCCAATCCACATAGAGGGATACTCTTTCAGCCTAGACACATGGGGGAGGGTCTAGGCCCTGCTCTAAATGACAGACTTTGAAGATCCCCCATGGAAGGTCTACCCTCCCTGGGGAGCAGGAAGGAGATGGGAAAGGGGGTCAGTGGAAATCAGGGGAGCAAGAGAGGGAGAGGGAACTGAGATTGACATGTAAAAGAAGTTTGTTTCTAATTTAAATTTTTTTAAAAGGGGGAAAAAAGGAACAAAAAGGGCTGGAGAGATAGCTTAGAGGTTTAGAGCACTGGCTGCTCTTTCAGAGGTCTTGTGTTCTATTCCCAGGAACCACATGGTGGCTCACAACCATCTGTAATGAGATCTGGCGCCCTCTTCTGACAGGGAGGCATACATGCAGGCACAACACTATACATAATTGCTAATTGTAAACACAATACTTGGTGTTTTACATGGATTTTTTTCCTACAACTTCTTGTATGGTGGTACACAGCTGTGATGCTTGTATTCAGGAGGCTAAGGCAGAAGGTTCAGGAGTTTCAGGCCAACCCAGAGTACAGAATGAGACCCTAAATAAATAAATGGAGGCTGGAAAGACACCTTGGTAGTTAAAGAGAATTTGCTGCTCTTCCCGAGGACTGGAGTTCAGTTTACAGCAACCACATTGAGCAGCTCACAACCACTTGTAACTCTGGCATCTTCTGTTGGCCTCAATGTGCACCCACACACATACACATAAATAAAAATGTATCTTCCAAAAAATGTAAAAAACAACTGACTGGGCAGTGATGGCACACACCTTTAATTCCAGCATTTGGGAGGCAGAGGCAGGTGGTTCTCTGCGAGTTCGAGGCCAGCCAGATTTACAGAGCGAGTTCCAGGACAACCATGGCTACACAGAGAAACCCTGTCTCAAAAACAAACAAACAAACAAAAACAACTGTAACTTGGCACTTGAGAGGCAGAGACTGGAGATCAGGAGTTGGTCATCTTTAATTTTTCTTACACTTAGCGGGGCGTTGGTGGCGCACGCCTTTAATCCCAGCACTCGGGAGGCAGAGGCAGGAGGATCTCTGTGAGTTCGAGGCCAGCCTGGTCTACAGAGCGAGTTCCAGGACAGCCTCCAAAGCCACAGAGAAACCCTGTCTCGAAAAAAAACAAAAAAAAATTTTTCTTACACTTATTTATTTACAGTGTGTGGGGGGGGGTTCTGGAATTTGAACTCAGATCATTCGGCACAATGGCAAGTATCTTTACCCTGAGCCATCTTACCATCCCCAAGTTCATCTTTTTTTTTTTCTTTATTTGGGGGCAGGGCGTTGAGACAGGGTTTCTCTGTATACCAGACCTCACTGTCCTAGAACTCTCTCTGTAGAGCAGGCTGGCCTCGAACTCACAGAAATATGTCTGTCTTTGCCTCCCAAGTATTGGGATAAAAGGTGTGGGCCACCACCATCCAGCCCTCAAGATCATCTTTGGCTACATAGAGAGTTGAGTCCAACGTGGCCTAGCATTGAGGCTGTCTCAACAAGCAAACAAAAAGGGCTGGGAGGTGGCTCAGTTGGCAGAGTGCCTGTCTAGCACCCACAGCGGCCTGGGTTCCATGCCCAGCCCCCATAAACCAAATGTGGTGGCAGACACCTACAATCCCAGCACCAGTGGGATAGAGGCAGAAGGATCAGGAGTTCAAGGCCATCCTCGGAGATAAAGGTAGTTCCAGGTTAGTCCAGGACAAGACATCCTATCTCAAATAAATAAATAAATCCCCTGTAAGTCATAGTTTTGCTCCTATTTTTCTGATAAATTATACATAGGAAATGACCTAGCTATAACAGAACCAGGACTCAAAACTGGGTTTGCTGGTGTCTAGTCAATGGATCTTTTTTTTTAAAGATTTTATTTATTATGTACACAATATCCTGCATCCATGTATGCCTGCTCACCAGAAGAGGGCACCACATCTCATTACAGATGGCTGTGAGCCACCATGTGGTTGCTGGGAATTGAACTCAGGACCTCTGGAAGAGCAGCCAGTGCTCTCAACCTCTGAGCCATCTCTCTAGCCCCTGTCAATGGATATTATGCACTGCAATCTACTCTCTGCAGGGTTCAAATGGCAGCTCCCTTCCCAAGGTGCTGATCTGCATTTAGAGATTAGCTAGTAGCCTCAACTCATTTTCTGTGGTAGTTTTAGCAGGAATGGCCCCTGTGATAATCTGAATGTAACTGGCCCCCATCTCTTAAGGAGTGACACTTTGTTAGAGGAAGTGTGTCACTGGAGGGGTGGGCTTTGAAGTTTCCTATCCTCAAGATTAACACCCAGTCTCTCAGTTGACTTCCTGTTGCCTGCAAGATATAGGATTCTCAGCTACTACTCCAGCATGCCTGCCTGCACACCGCCATGCTCCCTGTCATGATAATGGACTGGACCTCTGAAACTGTAAGTGAGATACCCCAATTAAATGTTTTCTTTATAAGAGTTGCCGTGGTTATGGTGTCTCTTCACAGCAATAGAAACCCTAACTAAGACAACCCCACAGACTCATGTATTTTGAATGGTTGGCCATAGAGACAGGCTTCGAGGTCTTTTTGTTGTTGTTGTTCCGGAACTCACTCTGTAGACCAGGCTGGCCTCGAACTCACAGAGGTCCGCCTGCCTCTGCCTCCTGAGTGCTGGGATTAAGGTGTGTGCCACCAACGCCTGGCTGTGCTTTGAGGTCTTATATGTTCAAGCAATGCCTAGTATGGCATAGTCTCCTGCTGCCTGTGGATCAAGATACAGAACTCTCAGCTTTCTCCAGCACCATGCCTGTCTTCATGCCTCCATGTCCCACCATGATAACACAATGGACTAAACCTCTGAAAATGTAAGCCATCCCTAATTAAATGTTTTCCTTTATAAGAGATGCCACGGTCAGAGTGTCTCTTCAAAGCAGTAGAAATCCTAAGACATCTTCTAGCACTATGTTGTGGAAAGACCTGGTAGATTCTTGGGCCTGTCAGCACACGACCCTCCTATGGGTTCTGGTACCTTAGGCTGCTCTTGGCCAATGTGCTGTGCATGAAGCTGACAGCATCCAGCTCAGGCTCCAGGTGTGTCAGTGGTCATGTAGGCTACTACAACCAGTGTATCTCACTCTCTGACCACCACTGACTCAGCGGTGGCACTGTGGTTTGATCAGAACCAGTGAAAAGAGATGGAACCTTCGCTGTGCATCTGAAAGGGGCACTCCCCTCTGGGAACTCGAGGAATGTGAGGAATGTGCTGCTAAGCCGCCAGAGAAACCAGCCTAACATAGGTGATAGCCCATTTTAGCTGATGAGGGGACACTTCCTAAGGCCTGGCTCAAGCTGTGCCAAACCAATTAAACCCCTTTTGCCTTAGCTGCTCTCAGAGATTGAACTCCACTATTCTGAGTTAATGCCTTCCTACTGTTTCAGTCCTGGCGGCTCTGTCAGAAGACAGCAAGCTGTTTAAAGGCATAGGCATGTCTTATTACATTTGACAGCCCTCACAGAGCCCGGCAGAGTGAGTGCTTTGGATAAAGAATGTTTGCTACATTAAAAGGCATGCTCCTAATTTTAACTGCCAGGCAGAACAAGTATGATCAAGCTTAGACTCTACCCACTGGTGAGGAAAATGTGGATGCTAGCCCTCTGCTCTAAGCCCTCCCTCCCTCTGCCATCAAACCACAGCCATCCATTAGTCCCTCCATCCTTTACCTTCGGATCCACTGAACTCAGAGGCGTCCTGAAGGCAAATACAGTCAGCTCTCTCTAGCAGTGGCTTCTACATCCGTGTGTTCAATTAACTGTGGACTAAAAATATTTAAGGGGAAAAAAGTCAAACCTGCTTTATTCATTGATTGATTCATTCATTCATTGGGAGGGGGTACTATCGGCCACAGTTATTCATGTAAAATTCAGAGGACAGCTTGTGGAAGCTCATGCTCTTCTACCATGTGAGTTCCTAGGAATCGAACTCAGGTCATCAGGCTTGGCAGCAAGTACCTTCACCCACAGAGCTGTATCGACAATCCAATTCCTGGATTTTTAGGTTTTTTTTTTCTTTTCTTTTCTTTCTTTTTTTTTAACAGTGTTTCTCTGTATTGCTTTGGAGCCTGTCCTGGAACTCTATCTGTAAACCAGGCTGGCCTTGAACTCACAGAGATCCACCTGCCTCTGCCTCCTGAGTGCTGGGACTAAAGGCATGTGCCACCATTGCCGGGCTTATATCCTAATTTTAAAAAGTTTCCTCTCCAAAGTAGTTAAACGATGTTTTAAAAGGAAGAGTGCCATCCTATATCTGTAGAATTCTTTTTAAAGTATACCTATTTATCTTTTTTTTTTTTTTTTGGTTTTTCGAGACAGGGTTTCTCTGTGGCTTTGGAGGCTGTCCTGGAACTCGCTCGGTAGTCCAGGCTGGTCTCGAACTCACAGAGATCCGCCTGCCTCTGCCTCCCAAGTGCTGGGATTAAAGGCGTGCGCCACCAACGCCCGGCTCAGCCCCATATTCTTAGCAGCTGCTGCTACTATCTTTGACAATCAAAATACTAAGTGACAAACTTGCTAGGTAACCCTGGCTGGCTTAGAACTCTATGTAAACCAAACTAGCCTCAAATTTGCCTTTGTCCTCTTGTCTCTGCCTCCAGAGTAATGAGACCCCAAAATACTATATTTAAATATCATTTTCATTCTCCCACAGCTCTAAAAGTAAACAAGTCAAATTGATAACATCAAATCTCTGTGCTAATACCCTAATGTGATATAATTTAGACATCATTTTAGAGAGGGAATTTGGCAATATTTATCAAAACTTAAAATTCAAGCCAGGAGCTAGGAAGGAGTGGTATACACCTTTAATCCCAGCACTTTTGAGAGGCAGAGACAGGCTGATATCTGAGTTTGAAGCCAGCCTGGTCTTCAGAAAGAGTTCCAGGACAAGCAGGACTATTATACAGAGAAAGCCTATCTTGGAAAAAAAAAATGCATGCCAGGTGTAGTGGCACACACTCCTGGGAAGCAGAGGAAAAGGGACAGTTGTAGGTCAGAAGTTTGAGGCTGGTAACCAAAGCATTTTAAGACCCCTGTCGCCGGGCGGTGGTGGCGCACGCCTTTAATCCCAGCACTCAGGAGGCAGAGGCAGGCGGATCTCTGTGAGTTCGAGGCCAGGCTGGACCGATAGCCTCCAAAACAATACAGAGAAACCCTGTCTCGTAAAAAACCAAAAGAAAAAAAAAAAAAAGACCCCTGTCTCGCATGTACGTTCTTGTTGAGATGGGGGTCTTTTTTTTTTTTTTTTTTGAGACAGGGTTTCTCTGTGGCTTTGGAGGCTGTCCTGGAACTAGCTCTTGTAGACCAGGATGGCCTCAAACTCAGAGATCCACCGGCCCCCACCTCCCAAGTGCTTGGATTAAATGTGTGTACCACCACTGCCTGGCTGACATTCTTTTTTTTTTTTTTTTTTTTTTTTGAGACAGGGTTTCTCTGTATTATTTTGGAGGCTCTCCTGGAACTTGCTTTGTAGACCAGGATGGCCTCGAACTCACAGAGATCCTCCTGCCTCTGCCTCCCAAGTGCAGGGATTAAAGGCGTGCGCCACCAATGCCCGGCTGGCTGACATTCTTTTTTGTTTTATTTTGTTTTGTTTTTTGTGTTTTTTTTTTTTTTCGAGACAGGGTTTCTCTGTGGTTTTGGAGGCCTGGCTGACATTCTTAATGATCTTTGTAGCAAGGATATAATTCCCATTTTGAGTTTAAACTTCTCCCTTCGACTCCGCTTCCCAAACAAACACATACAGAGTTAACTGTGCATTACAATATTCATACACTCACTGCTCTGCTAGTCAACTCCCAAATAAACTGTCTCATCTTTTTTGTTTGTTTGTTTGTTTTTTTAGAGACAGGGTTTCTCTGTATTGTTTTGGAGTCTGTCCTAGAACTTGCTCGGTAGACCAGGCTGGTCTTGAACTCACAGAGATCCGCCTGTTTCTACCTCCCGAGTGCTGGGACTAAAGATGTGCGCCACCACCGCCTGGCAAACTATCTCATCTTTAAAGAATCTCTGTTGAGCTGGAGAGATGGCTCAGGGTTTCCCAGCACCCACATGGTGGCTCACAGATTGTCTGTAACTCCATTATCAGGGGAGCCAATGCCCCCTTCTGGATTCTGTAGGCACTAGGAGCACATATGGCACACAAACATGCACCCAGGCAAAATATCCATGCAAAAGGAATTTAAAAAACTAAAAGGACGGGGCTGGAGAGATGGCTCAGAGGTTAAGAACACTGACTGCTCTTCCAGAGGTCCTGAGTTCAATTCCCAGCAACCACATGGTGGCTCACAATCATCTACAATTCAGTCTGGTGCCCTCTTCTGGCATGTAGGCAGAACACTGTATATGTAATAAATAAATAAATCTTTTAAAAAAAATTAAAAGGACACAATTATGTAGAATTATCTAGAGTCAACTGAAAATGTCACCAAAATATACAAATAAATAAAACAAGGCTGGAAAAAAAATCTGTGGCTGGGCAATGGTGGCACACACCTTTAATCCCAACACTCAGGAGGCAGAGGCAGGCAGACCTCCGTGAGTTTGAGGTCAGCCTGGTCTACGAGAGCAAGTTCCAGGACAGCCTAGACTACACTCAGAGAAACCCTGTACCCTTCCCCCAAATTAAAGTCATTACTAAGCACGGGGGCTGGAGATGTAGCCCAGTTGGCCAGGTACTTGTCTTTCCAGCCCAAGGTCCTAGGTTTCATCCTCAGCACTGCATAACCTGAGCGTCATGGTGCAAGCTTATAATACAAGCACTCTAGAGGTAGAGACTGAAGAATCAAGATTCAGGGTCATCCTTACCTATAAATCCTGTTTCACTATAGTCTGGTCTACATAAGAAACTGTCTCCAAAAAACAAGTTACTAACTATGTACATCACTGTTAAACCCCACCTTCAGGGTACCAAGCGGTGGGTCCCTTCCCCCAGAATTGCCTCAGTCTAGATTCTTCCCCTGAGGAAGCCTGCTATCAGCGAATCCACCAGCTGAGGGCATTAAAAGCCCCCCACCTCGTGGTTTTCCCCTCTTCCTTTGGGGACACCCAGGAATTCTTTGCTTAGATGAACCCTGTACTTATTAATTCAGTTTGATAGGTTTATTACATCACCAGCAGCAGGTTTCCAATAACGGGGGGACTTAAAACTTATCAATTGCCTGACAAAAGGAAGCTATCAGGAATAGCAAAGCTAATCAAGTCTAGCGCACATTCCCAGAGGGACTGTAGATGACACCACATAGCACAAACTCCTGGACCCTTAAGGGAATCCTAACTACTTTACAGGACTGCTTCTCACAAAGAGCCAAAAGCAGGGGCTGGAAAGCTGGCCCAACAGTTAAATAGAAAATACTATTTCCCAAAGGACATGAGTTCAATTTCCACTGCTCGAATCAGGTGGCTCATAGATGCCAGTAGCTGCTGCTCCAGGGGTACCCACATCTCTGCCCTCTAAGGACTGGAGAGATGGCTCAGAGGTTAAGAGCACTGGCTGCTCTTCCAGAGTTCAATTCCCAGCAACCACATGGTGGCTCACAACCATCTGAGATCTAGCGTCCTCTTATGGCATGCAAGAATACATGTAGGCAGAATACTGTATACATAATAAATAAATAAATCTTTTTTTTTTTTTTTTTGGTTTTTCGAGACAGGGTTTCTCTGTATTGTTTTGGAGGCTGTCCTGGAACTCACTCTGTAGACCAGGCTGGTCTCGAACTCAGAGATCCGCCTGCCTCTGCCTCCCGAGTGCTGGGATTAAAGGCGTGCGCCACCAACGCCCGGCACTAAATAAATAAATCTTAAAAAAAAAAAGACAGTCTGACTTTCTCTTCTCCCTCTTACCCCCATTTTTTTTTTTTTTTTTTTTTGAGATAGAGTCTGGCATGTAGTCACGCCAGCTGTGAGCTTGCTTCCATCTTCCTCTGCCTCCCTGGTGCACCACCACCACCACCACCACCTGGCTGGCCAGCCCCCTCTTTCCCACGACCCTCGTCCAGTCCCACCAACCTGAGAACAAAAATTACTCCTGAATACTTGAATTTCCTGTGCATCATTCATTAAGAAGTGCTATTTAATCGCAGCGCTCCAGAGGCAGAGGCAGGAGGATCTCTGTGAGTTCGAAGCCAGCCTGGTCTACAGAGTGAGTTCCAGGTCAACCAGGGCTGTTACACTGAGAAACCATCCTGGGGGAGGGGGGAGCGCTAAGCAAACTACTTGACAAGCACGTTCAGTATTTTCATTTTTCAGAGGGGGAAACCGAGGTTCAAAGATACAGATTAAACGTCCAGGATTCAGAATCCATACACAACTGATTCCAGATAGGAGATCCTTAACCACTGTTTATCGGTCTCCCCAAACCCTTAACAAGTCCAGCGAAAGACTGGAAAGCCACCCCTCCTCTGACCCATGGGAAGGAAGGAGACAACGGAAGAGTTTCCATTTGCAGGGGTAGAATTTCTGACCAATTGCATCTTCGGTTCTCGTGCTAAACTGCTCTCAAGAAGGAGGAAACAACCCATCCTGAATCAGACGACCTGAGGAGGCCACCGGAGGGCACAGTCCCCGGTGTCCGGATGTGGAAACCGAGGCCTTGCCTCTCCCGTGTCTTCCCCATGGACCAACTGACCAAGTGACCACCGCCGAGGCGGACGCTGGCCCAGCCTGCCAAGCCCTGGCGCTCGGGTATCGTTCAAGATTAGAATGAGCAGAAGCTGGACGACGCGGGGTGTGCCACGCACAGCCAGAGAGGCGAAGTATGTGCCTCGTGTCGGCCAGCCCCACGCAAGAAGAGTCTGTCCCTCCGCGCAGCCGGGGTCCAGGGAGTTGCTGGGCCGGGCGGTCCAAAACTGGCTGAGAAAGGCAACCATGCTTGCTACCCACACCCGGTCCCCTGAGCCAGCCTCCCGAGACGCCCGCAATCAACTTTCCTCCAAAACCAACGAAAGCCGCGGCAGCGACCGGATGCCGAGTTCTCACCTGACAACCGGGTTCCAGCCGCCGCCAGCCAGCTGTGCGTACCGACACGCCCCCCCTTTCATTC